CAAGGAAATGGCAAAAATATCTGGACAGTTACTATTCCAGAGACATACAGATGAAGGGCCACGCATGGTGGCTCTTGCCTGTAGTCCCAGCACTTTGGGAGGCCAAGGCAGGCGGATTACCTGAGGTCGGGAGTTTGAGTTCAGAAGTCTAAAAAGAGGACCTCAGTTTCTTCTGGCTTGTAAGGCTTCTGTAGGAAGTCTACTGTGTTAGCCTGATTGGATTTCATTTATAGGTAATTTGGCTATTTTCTCTAGCTGCCTTTGAGGGTTTTTTTTTTTTTTGGCATTGACCTTAAATAGTCTAATGATTATATGGTAGACTTCTTACAGAAGCCTTACAAGTCAGAAGAGACTGAGATCCTTATTTTAGCCTTCTTAAAGAAAACAACAACAACAACAACAAAACGCCATCCAAGAATTTTATATCCACCAAACAAGGAAGGAGGAATAAAGTCTTTTCCAAATAAGTAAGTGCGAAAGGAATTCATCATTACCAGACCAGACCTACAAGAAATGCTCAAAGGAGTTTTAAACATGGAAACAAAAGGACAACACTTGCTACCATAAAAGCACGCATAAGTACAAAGTTCACAGATCCTATAAAGCAATTAAACAACTGAGACTATAAAGCTCACTAAAAACAGTCTAATGGGAACAAAATCTCACATATAAATATTAATCATAAACAGCCTAAATATTCCACTTAAAATACACAGATTGGCAAATTGGGTTAATAAAACAAGACTAAACCATCTACTGACTTCAAGAGACCCATCCTATGTGTAATAACACCATAGGTTCAAAGTAAAGGGGTGACAAAAGATCTACCATGCAAACAGAAAATGAAAAAGAACAGGGATTGATATTCTTGTATCAATTAAAACACTTTAAATCAACAACAGTAAAAAAAAAAAGACAAAGAAGGGTATTATACAATGATAAAGGCTTCAATTCAGCACGATATAATTATGTAACTACTATTATATAATGATAAAGACTTCAATTCAACAAGAAGATTTAACAAGCAGATTTAACTGTGCCCAACACTGGAACACCCAGATTTATAAAACGAATATTACTAAACCCAAGAAAACAGATAGACAGCTATACAATAGTAGTGGAGTTATCAATGCCCCATTGACAGATAAAGAATTCAAAATATGGATTACAAGGAAACTCAAAGAGATCCAAGAGTAAGTTGAAAACCAACACAGAGAAACCAGGAAAAAGATTCAGGATATGAAAGAGGAGGTAGCTACGTTTTAAAAAGCAAAACAAAACAAAAACTTCTGGAATTAAAAAATTCACTAAAGGAATTTTAAAATACAGTTGAGAGTTTTAGCAACAGACTAGACCAAGCAGAAGGAATAATTTAAAAGCCTGGAGACTAGTCTACTGGATCATGGAGGCTGAAAAATAATAAAGAAACTCTGGACTTAAATTGGACTTTTGACCAAATGAACCTAATAGACATCTACAGAACACTCCAGTCAACAACTGCAGAATATACATTTTTTCTCATCTGTGCATACAACATTCTCTAAAATTGACCATATGCTTGATCATAAAACAAGTCTCAATAATTTTTTAATAAAATTATATCAAATGTATATATGGACCATAATGGAATAAAATTAGAAATCCATACCAAAAGAAACTTGCAAAACCACACAAATACATTGAAACCAAAAAACTTGCTCCTGGTTGACTTTTGGGTAAAAGACAATAACAAAAAAACAGAAATAAAAACTTATTTTGAAACAAAAGAAAATGCAGTCATAACATGCCAAAACCTCTAGGATACAGAAAAAGTAGTATTAGGAGGAAAGTTTATAGCACTAAATGCCTACCTGAAGAAGATAGATGTAACGTTAACAACCTAATGTTGCACCTAAATGAACTAGAAAAACAAGACCAAACCAAACTCAAAGGTAGCAGAAGAAAAGAAATAACAAAGATCTGAGCAGAACTAAATGAAAATGAGACGAAAACAAAACTCCAAAAAACCGTACAAAGGATCAATGAGACAAAAACTGGGTTTTTTGAAAGGACAAACAAAAGTGATAGATCACTTGCTAGATTAACCAAGGAAAACAGAGAGAAACAGAAGTTTCCAGATAAGCACAATCAGAAATGATAAAGTTGACATTACAACCAATACCACAGAAAGACAAAAGATCTTCAGAGACTACTATGAACATTTCTATGTGCACAAACTAGAAAATCTAAATCAAATGAAAAAATTCCTGGAAACATACAGCCTCCAGAGATTGAACCAGGAAGAAATTGAAATTCTGAACAGGCCATTAATGTGCCATAAAATTGAATAAATAATAAAAAATATACCAACAACAACAAGAACAAAATCACAGGACCAGAGTATTTACAGGCCAGCCAAATTCTACCTGATGTACAAAGAAGAGTTGGTACCAATATTACTGAAGCTATTCTAAAAAATTGGGGAGGAGGGAGGCCTCTCTAACTCATACTATGAAACCAGTATCATGCTGATACCAAAATCTGGCAAGGACCCCCCAATAAAAAATAAAACAACAGGCCAATATCCCTGATAAAAATAGATTCAGAAATCCCCAACAAAACACTAGCAAACAGAAAATCCAGTAACACATCAAAAGGATAATTCATCAGCATCAAATGGCCTTATTTCAGGGGTACAAGGATGATTCAATATATACAAGTCAATAAATGTGATTTGTTACACAAACAATTAAAAACAAAAATTGTATGATCATTTCAGTATATGCAGAAAAAGCATTTGGTAAAATCCAACACCCTTTATAATAAAAACCCTAAAAAACAGGCATTGAGGGAACATACCTCAAAATAACAAGAGCCATACATGACAAACCCACAGCCAACATCATACCGAATGGTGAAAAGTTGAAAGCATGTCCCCTAAGAACTGGAACAAAACAAAGATATCCATTGTCACCACCCCTATTCAACATAGTACTGAAAGTCTGTAGCTAGAGCAATCAGGGAAAAGAAATAAATAGTAGCCATCCAAATTGGAAAAGGGGAAGTCCAATTATATCTGTTTGCTGATAATATGATTCTACATCTAGAAGACCCTAAAGATTAATTTAAAAGATTCTATACCTAGAAAACCCTAAATATTCCTCCTAGACCTAACAAATGACTTCAGTAAAGTTTCAGGATACAAAATGAATGCATCAAAATCAGTGGCATTTTTATAAACCAACAACACGCAAGCTGAGAACCAAATCAAGAACTCAAACCCATTAAGAATTACCATACACACACAAAATTACCTGGAAATACATTTAATAAAGAAGGTGAAAAACCTCTACAAGGAGAAAAAAACAGTTTGATAATATAAATCATAGATGACACAAACAAATGAAAAAGCATTCCATGCTCATCTATAGGAAGAATCAATATCATCAAAATGACTATACTACCCAAAACACTCTACATGCTCAATTCCTATCAAATTAACAATGTAGTTTTCACATAATTTGAAAAAGCAGTTTTAAAATTTATATGGAACCAAAACAGAGCCTGAATAGCCAAAGCAATTCTAAGCAAAAAGAATAAAGCCGGAGGCATCACATTACCCTACTTCAAACTATTCTACAAGGTTATAATAGCCAAAACAGCATGGTCCTAGTACAAAAATGGAAACATAGATCTGTAAAACAGAATAAAGAATCCAGAAATAAAGCCACACACCTGCAACAAACTAATGTTCAAAAATTCTACAAAAATAAACAATGGGGAAAAGATTCCCTATTTATTAAAACAAATGGTGCTGGGAAAACTGGTTAGCCATATGAAAAAGAATTAAACTGGACCTCCATTCCTTACCATATGCAAAAATTAACTCAAGGTTGATTAAAGACTTAAGTGTAAGACCTTAAACTATTAAAATCCTAAAAGAAAACATAGGAAAAACTCTTCTGGACATTGGCCTAGGCAAATAATTTATCAAAACCAAAAATAGACAAATCGGATTTAAAGAGTTCTGTAGAGCAAAAGAAACAACAGCATAAACAAACAACCTACAGAATGGGAGAAAATAATTGCAAGCCATGTATCCACCAAAGGACTAATATCCAGAATCTACAAAGAAGTTAAAGAAATTAACAAGACAAAAACAACCCCATTACAAAGTGGGCAAAGGACTTGAACAGACACTTCTCAAAAGAAGACAAACAGCTGACAAGCATATGAAAAAATGTTCAACATTACTAATTATCAGATAAATGCAAGTTAAAACCACAATGAGATACCTTCTCAAACCAGTCAAAATGACTATTACTAAAAAGTCACAAAAATAACAGGTGTTGTCAGGGATGTGGAGTAAAGGGAACAACAATGTACTGTTAACGGGAATGTAAATTAGTTTCGCCCCTATGGAAAACATTACAAAGATTTCTCAATTAACTAAAAATAGAATTACTATTCAACCCAGTAATCTTACTATTGGGTATCTATCCAAAGGAAAATAAATTGTTTTATCAAAAAGACACTTGTACTTGCATGTTTCTCACAGTTCTATTCACAATAGCAAACTCATGGAATTAACCTAAGTGCACATCAATGATGGATTGAATAAAGAAAATGTGGTATATATATACCATGAAATACCATGCAGTCATAAAAAAGAATAAAACTGAATTATTTGCCAACATGGTTGGAGCTGGAGGGCATCATTCTAAGTGAAATAACTCAGAAACAGAAAGTCAAATACTGCATGTACTCATTTATAAGTGGGAGCTAAACAATGGATACTCATGGACATAAAGATAGAAACCATAGACACTGGGAACTCCAAAAGAAGAGAGGGTGGGAGGGGTGAAGGTTGAAAAATGACCTACCATGAGTTATGTTCACTATATAATTGATGAGTTCACTAGAAGCCCAAACCCCAGCATTACACAATATACTCATGCAACAAACCTGCACATTATATCCCTTGAATCTATAACACAAAAGCAAGTTTATTTTAAACTTACCTTTTTTCTGCATGTCCTGATAAAGTTTGCTTATTTCTGTCTTATATCCCTCCTCTTTGATTTTCATTTCACTTACAAGTTTGGCAATATTATTCTTATATTCCTAAAGATTAAAATATATATTAATTTTTAAAATTTAAATATGTGTATATAACTTTTGATTCCTAGAAAGGTGAAATTCTCCATTCACATTACTTTTTAAATACTTTAAAAATTTTATATTACTTTTAAAAAAGGTACTATAAATGTAATATAAATGAACAATTTCACCTTTCTACTAATTAAAAGCTATCATATATACAAGGAAAAATATTGTTCATTGTTTGAATAATCAGCTTTCAGATAGACCCATTTTATTTTATTTTTTATATATATAAAGTATTTATTTTTTAATTTAAATTTACATTTTTGGCTGGGTGCGGTGGCTCACACCTGTAATCCCAGCACTTTGGGAGGCTGAGGCACGCGGATCACGAGGTCAGGAGATTGAGACCATCCTGGCTAACATGGTGAAACCCCGTCTCTACTAAAAATCCAAAAAATATTAGCCGGGCATAGTGGTGGGCACCTGTAGTCCCTGCTACTTGGGAGGCTGAGGCAGGAGAATGGTGTGAACCTGGGAGGCCCTGGAACTTGCAGTGAGCCAAGATAGCACCACTGCACTCCAGCCTGGGCAACAGAGTGAGACTCTGTCTCAAAAAAAAAAAAATTAAAATTTTAATTTGAAAACTAAAAATTATATTTATGATGTACAACATGATGTTTTAATATATGTATACATTGTGGAATGTCTAACTCAAGTCAATTAACGTATCTATATTATGGATATGTTCAATATATGTTAAATACCTCACATATTTATCACTTTTTTGTGGTGAGAACATTAAAACACTACTCTCTTAGCAATTTTTAAGTATATGATACATCGTTATTGATAACAATAACCAAATTGTACAATAGCTCTCCTGAGTCTATTCCTCCTTTCCAACTAAAATTTTTATCCTTTCATCAACATCTCTCCAATTGCCTCCTCCACTGCAGCCTAACCACCACTCTACTCTCTGCTTCATGAATTCCATAAGAAAGATCAATTTCTGATCCAAGGAGATAAGATAAAGATAATACAGAAACAATGTCTTTTTTATCTTTGCTTTCTGGATACTCATCACCAGGGTTTATAATATTAAGTATGCTCAAAATATTTAATTTTATGAATAAATGCCGCTACAGAATTAAGGTATGTTCAATATAAGCCAAAACTACACGCTAGAGCCAACAAAAGGCACTGTACAATAGCTAGCAAGCTTACTATAATGTATGATGAGTCTCTTTGAATGCAGGCTGAACTTCTGTTTCCAAAAATTATATAAATATTCCTAATTCCCAGAGCAAGATTAGGCATTACTCGTGGTAAGGGTATGTTTTATGAGGAGGCATAGAGAGAAAGATGAATTTGGGATTTGCAAAGTGCTTGACAGCTGCCTGAGATTAGCTTCTGAGGTTTTTGGAGGATAGGGGTGATTTATTATGCTAAGAACAGGGAGAGGAGCATTGAGAATGGTGATGGAAGTTATTTTACTACAATTGTGAAGATAAATTTTACAACTTTACCAGGGGTATGGTCCTACATGAAGAAATTATTCAGAGGCCTAAAATGTAGGCAAGAGAAAAGGAAAGCAGGAAGAATAAAAGTTAAGTATGATAGTAGTAAAAAGACAATAATAAAGGCAAGAGGCCAATAAAAGCCTCTAATACCTAAAAGCTGGGACTCACCATTGTATTCCCAACTCATTGTGTGTAAATATATGTATATATATACACACACACATATATCTTGATGTATATTTCTTGAATGAATGGGAGTGCCAATAAGAATTACTTTGGTCAGAACTCTTAAACTGGATCCCATGATTAGGCTTTTGATCAACTTCCAAAATTTAATGTAAAATTATACACGTATTTATGTGTGTGTGTATGTGCGTGTGTGCATTTTTCTCAGTGAGGATTCATAGCTTTTAGTAGATATTTCATGGTATTGAGGAGGTTAAAAAATTTTAAACAGGTCAAGACATACTGGCTTATATGCCTACTATTAAAAATAGGCATACATTCCTCCATATTATCTCAGTTCAAGAGATTTAGTATGGATTCCTGTTTGTTCTACTTATCCTGCCAGGCAACCTGTAGGAATGGACAAAGCTATTCAACTTCTTGGCTCTGATTAAAACTGGGCAGGTGAACCCAGTGGGCAATCCCACAAATTGCCATTTTCTATGTATCTAGATTTCTAGATGGGCAACTACAGAGTAGCTTTTATAAACTACTGACAACTGTGTGCACTAAGCTGTTGCTGCTCTGAGAAATCACAAGAGACAAACTTATGTACCTTTCTAGTCTCCACTGATTTTTGCCACAGGAAGATGTCACCAGTAAAGTGGAATGCATGCAGTAATTCGGTAAGACCCAGGATTTGCATTCCAGCCTCCAGGCAAGAAGACTATTCTATCTGGGTTAAGTCAAGCTGTATCTCACTAGATCTTCTCTTCCATTTTAGCCTGTGCCATTCCTAAAAAATGTAATCTTTTCATTTTTCTAAGGAGACTAATCCCTAATAGGTTACAATTGGTTGTCTTCTTTTCATATGCTTTCTGGGAACTTTAAATTCCAAGGAATAACTTCTAGTTTCACTCTTGATATATAAAACAATGATTCTATACAAGTTGCAAAATCCTTCTACTCTCACAAATACTGCTATGGAGTACCTCCTGAGTTTCCTGGGGAGTTGTTCTCCATGAACAATAGAGAATTTTAGATGTGTTCAGAGGTTTTGAATTAGCAAATCTGCACTGTCATAGTTTGCTTTGGACAGCCCCTAAGTAAGAAATTCAGACTCTTGGATTGTGGTGTTTTCTCTTTAATTTCTTCCCCTCCAAACATTCCTATGATATGACAAAGCAGTATCCTAGTGCTTGAAGTTTTAGAAAGGAAAGTGCTAAAATTTTCTCCCCCTGGTTCCCCACCCCAATTACAACCTGACTTTAGCATCTATTGTTGAGATCTAGAGTCAATATATGAAAGGGATTGGGAAAGAATAAAGGGAAAAAGGACAAGAAAGGGGGAGAAAGGGTAGGATTAATTCCAGAAATACTTAAAAACCATCTCAAAATTGGTGATGAAAAGCTACATTTTCTAAGAGCATAGCCAGAATGCTACTTATTACTGTAGAGTATTAACCAGAAGTTCTGGGCAGGTTTCTTCAGCGGGTCCTCAGATGAGGAACCAGACTGAATTTAGAGAAGATTCTTCAAGTTGAAGGCTCCTGTAGATTCAAATTGAGTTTTGAGGATCTTTTGTCTGCTAGAATTTGACATATTAGCTCTTGAGCGATGAGGTAGTATAATGAATCTCTCAAAGAGTAGAGGGAACTGACATTTATTTAGCATCTTTTATGCTTTTTAGACACTGTTCATGTGTTCTACAACTGCTATCACTGCACTGTTCCTACAGGAGACAAGGAAAAGTATCAGATGGTATGGTGGCTCCTGGGAGATAAATAATTTATGATCCACATGAAATGCCCCCTGTATTTGAATGGTATAATGATTACCCAAATCATAAAGAGTACAGATTCATTTACATTATAATAAAAAAGTTCACAAGTAGTAACAAATAGAGTTTACTAGAGTAAAAACTCTATTAACATAATTGAAAAATATGTAGCAAAATAACTGCATCTCTTTTTGGTAGAAAGAAAAAGTAATGCATGTTATATGTTAGTACATTATATTTTGTAAAAATAAAACTCTTAAAACTTGTATTGCTTTGAAAACAAATTGTCATTTACTACAGATTTTGGCATATATACACATATCTCCACATACACCCACACCTACAAATACTTGGCTGTGTTTATTAATTTAAAACCTCTTTTTTCCCCCTAATTTGAAAAGATAAATCTCCACAGGGACTTGACTGAATAGAATGATACATAAACTCACCTGTTCATGAGACTTCAACTTCTCTTTTATAAGATCAGCACTTATTTTTAGTTGTTCATTTTCACCTGTGTAAGAATAATCAAAGATCATAATATATAGCACTTTCCAATTAATATGAAAATATGTTTAACATTTTAGCTTCCATTATGTATGCATTCAACAAACATGCATCCAGCAGCTGGTACACATCAGGCACCACACTAGACACTGAGAATATGAAAGTGAAAAGAGTTATTGCTCTTCAAAGAACTTACAGCCTAGTGCTGAGTCAAATGTGTTAGTAGTTATAATATGCTATGATAATTAATCTTTAATGGTAGTATATCTGAAATACTATAGGAACCTGTAAAAAGAAAACCCAGGGCAACTTGAAGTCAGGAAAGGAGTAGAAAAGCTACTTGAGATGAGATTTAAGTGACAGGCTTACCCCATGTTAAGAGAGAGCATTCTAAATACAGAAAATTGCACAGAAGACCATGGGCTTGAGTGAATACAGCTTGGAAAAACTACAATTCAAGTACGGTATTGTTGAAGTGTAAAGTGTGAGCAGGAGCTGCTATATAGGTTGGGATCCTATCACTAGGTAGACATATTCTAGATGAACAATTTTGGATTTTGGTTTTAAAGGTTACAGGGAGTCATCAAAGAACTTTGAATAGTGCAGAAGTGAAATAATGAGAGTTACATGCTAAAACGATTATCTGGCAATGTGGATGATGAATGAGAGGATTTTGACCCTAGAATAATGGATATCACTAAGTATAGGTCAAGTAAGAGATAATAGGAACCTAAATTATGTCAGTGGCAGTATGGAAAAAAGGAAGCAATGAGGAGAATTATTATTTAGATGATAGAATTACCTAGGAATTTAGTGACCCTTTAGTTAAAGGAGGCAAAAGAGAAAGGGAGAACCTTTTCTTTTAAGGTTTCTGGTTTGGGTAACTGAAAACAATACCTTCATAATATTTTTAACAAATTTTAAAAACCCTGTGGTTAATTTTGATTACTAAACACCAGGTCAATTTAAAACTGTAATTTCCTATTTGATTGAAAGTTTTCATGATCCCTATCCAACTGGCTAGATCAGTAGCTGTAAAGAGTCAATAGAAGTGGGAAAGAAGTCTTAGTTTGCTCCTCAGTTGCTCTTTCCTGTCTTTCCTCTGGGTCATTTCTTGGGGGATGGAGACAGGAAATAAGGAGAGGCAAAAATTCTCTATTCAACTTTGAGGTTCCAGTCCTTTAGGTGCTTGTAGCAAATATATGCAGAGTCTGGACTCACTCCAACATTTGGCAACCTTTTAGCAGATGTCATTAGAATATGGAAATACGTAGCTATTTTATTGTTGATTGTGGCATGGGCCCTAGTCACTAATTCCAGGTCAACAGGAAAAGCCTCACTAGACATCCTATTACAATTTCTCCTCTACAACCTTAACTATAAACACAACCAAGAAGTAGTTAAACAAAACAACAAATCAGTAAAGATTTTTGACATTATCTTCTTTTAGGAAGGTTTCTTTTGCAGTAGAGTAACGTTGAGAGGAGCCTTGGAAACACTTATGAAACTATTGCAGAGGTATTAAATCACAGTATTAAAATTAAAACCTTGACTATAAGAAAACTAAGAATTAGCTAAACAAAACAACAACAAATCAGTAAAGATTTTTGACATTATCTGAACAACGCTTTAGGAAGGCTTGTTCTGTAGTACAGTAACATCGAGAGGAGCCTTGGAAACAGGGTCCACATATAAAACTTGCAGGGATATTATATCAAAGTATTAAAATTAAGTAAAAATCTAAAGTCAATTAGTTTTCAAAGGTTGTGATGAGAAAATGATAGGAAAAGTGTTACATTTTTAAGGGTCATATTTAATACAAATTTTAATCTTGATGATGGCTTCAGTTTGTCAGATTGTGTCTTTCAAGAAATTAGTCCATTTCACATAGGTTATCATTTGTTCAGAGTATTCCTTTATTATCCTCTTTTTTTTTTTTTTAAATATTGAGATGAAGTTTCACTCTTGTCCCCCAGGCTGGAGTGCGATGGTGCGATCTTTGATCCCTGCAACCTCTGCCTCCCGGGTTCAAGCTATTCTCCTGCCTGTGCCCCTGAATAGCTGGGATTACAGGCGGGTACCACCAAGCCCAGCTAATTTTTGTATTTTTAGTAGAGATGGGGTTTCACCATGTTGGCCAGGCTGGTCTCCTTTATTATCTTCTTAATGAACATGACATTTGTAGTGACGTCCTTTCTTTCATTTCTGATATCATTAACTTGTGTAATCTCTCCTATTTCCTTAGTTCATCTGGCTAGAGACTTGTCGATTTTATTGATCTTTTCAAAAAAACAGCTTTTAGTTTCATTGCTCTCTATTGATTTCTTGTTTTCAATTTTACTACTTTCTGCTTTATTATTATTTCTTTTTATTACTTACTTTGGATTTAATTTGTTCTCCTTTTTCTTATTTCCTACAGTGGAAGCTTAAATTAATTTTAGCTTTTTCTTGTCTTCTCATATACACAATTTAATGCTATAAATTTCTCTTTAAGCACTGTTTCTGCTGCATTTCACAAATTTTAATAAATTGTATTTTCAGTTTTATTTAGTTCAAAATATTTTAAAATTTGTTGATATTTATTTTTTGACCACTGTATTATTTAAAAGTATTCTTTAATCTGCATATATTTTCAGATTTTTCATCTATCTTTCTGTTTTTGATGTCTACTTTAATTCCATTGTGGCCTGACAGCAGACACCGTATGATTTCTGGTCTTTCAAATTTGTTAAGGTGTGTTTTATAAGCCACAATGGGATCTATCTTGGTGAGTATTCACTAAGTTTGAGGAGAATGTGTATTCTGCTGTTGTTGGATGAAATAGTCTATAGATGTCCATTATAGTCAATTGATTGATGGTATTGTTGATTTCAACTGTGTCCTTACTGATTTCCTGATAGAAGAATGTTGAAATCTTCAACTACAATAGTGAAGTCATCTATTTCTCCTTCCAGTTCTATCAATCTTTGACTCACATATTTTTGATGCCTTTGCTAGATGCATATATAAAAGATTTTTTTGTCTTCTTGAAGAATTAATCCTTTTATCATTATGTAATACCCCTTTTTATCCTGGATAATTTTTCATGCTCTAAAATCTGCTGTTTGAAATGAATATAGCTACTCCAGTGTTCTTAGTGTTAGCATGGCATATCTTTCTCCAGCCCTTAGCTTTTAATCTATATGTGCCTTTATATTTAAAGTAGACTTTTTTTGTAGAAAGCATATAGTTGGGTAATGTTTTTTGATCCACTCTGATAATCTCTGTCTTGTAAACTGTGTATGAGGCTATTGATTTTCAAAGTGATTTTTGACAAAGTTGGATTAATATCTACCGTATTTGTCACTGTTTTCTATTCATAGACCTTGTTCTTTGATCCTATGTTTGTCTTCTATTCTTTTTCTGCCTTTTGTGGTTTTGAGTATTTTATGTGATTTCATTTTCTCTTCGTTTTTAGCAAATCCATTATACTTCAATTTTTAGTTTTTTTAGTGATTGTCCTAGAGTTTGCAATATACGTTTACAATGAATTCAGGTCCACTTTCAAATCCATTATACTGCTTCTCAGGTAGTACAAGTCTTTTATGCTAAAGTATTCATAATTCCTTCCTCTCATTCCTTATGTCACTGATGTCATACATTTCACTTATGCATAAGCTTTTTAAGTATCATTAAGTATCATTACTTAATAATACATTGTTGCTATATTTTGAATAAACTGTTATCTGTTAGATCAATTGAGAATAAGAAAAATAAAAGTTTTTATTTTGCCTTCACTTATTCCTTCTGTAATGTTCTTCCTTTCTATGTATATCCAAGTTTCTGGCCTATATCATTTTGCTTCTCTCCTCTTTCATCACTTCCTGCAAGGCTGGTATACTTGCAACAAATACTCTCAATTTTTGTTTGTCTAAGAAAGTCTTTATGTCTCCTTTCTGGACAATAAGTTTGCAGGATGCAGAATTATTGGTTGGCGCTTTATTCTATCTCTCTCAGCACTTTAAATATTTCACTCTACTCCTTTACTGCTTGCATGGTTCCTGAGAAGAAGCTGGGTATAATTCTTATCTTTGGTCGGTCCTCTATAGGTAAAGAATTTTCCTCACTCTTGTTTCAAATTTTTTTCTTTGTTTTTTATTTTCTACAGTTTGAATATGACATGCTCATGGGTAGTTTTTTGAGCATTTACCCTGCTTGGTGTTCACTGAGCTTCCTGGATCTGTGATTTGGTATCTGATATTAATTAGGGGAAATTCTCAGTCATTATTGCTTCTGATGTTTCTTCTGTTCCTTTCTTTCTTTATTTTCCTTCTGGTATTCCCATTAAGTGTTTGTTACAGCTTTTGTAGTTATTACACAGTTTTTGGATATTTTGTTACTTTTTTCCTAGTCTTTTTTTTTTTTTTTCTTTTCAGTTTTGGAAGTTACTATTGACATATTCTCAAGCTTAGAGAGTCTTTCCTGATGCTGAAAAATTCCTTTCATTAGGCTATGTCTAGTCTACTAATGAGTCCAACAAAGGCATTCTTCATTTGTGTTTAGAGCCTTTAGCATATTAACCGTAGTTTTTAAAAAATTTCTGGTCTAATAATTCCAATATCCCTGCCATTTCTGTGTCTGGTTTTGATGCTTTCTCTGCGTCTTCAAATCGTTTACTTTTTTTTTTTTTTTTAAGTGTGCCTTGTAAATTTTTGTACAAAGCTCATGACCAAGTACCAGTAAACGGGCCTTTAGTGATTTGATGGTAAGGTGTTGGGGAAGGAGAAGCATTCTATAGTCCTATGATTAGGTCTCAGTCTTTCAGTAAGCCTGTGTCTTTGGACGGTGAGCTACCCACATGCTTCTCAGTCCCTCTCCCCTTTGGTGAGATGGAATGACTAGAGTGGGCTGGAGTCGGCAAGGCTAGGGGGAGCTGAAATAGGATATTTTCCTCCCCTAAGGCAGCTTATCCTTGGCTAAAACCCCAGTAGTTTAGGTTCAGATAAAACAGTTTCTTTTGAGTCAGGC